CAGCTTCATTAAATGCTTGTACTGTTGATTTGACCGGTTGGTCCTTCGACTTGCTATTTCGGGGGCGAAAGGATACCCGCATGGTCAATTATCAGCTTTAAATATGTCTTCGTACGTACCGCATTAATTGAGCATTTAATGCGTGTACAGTACCATGTTTCCATCGAATGACTCCTAGCCGTTAGGGAATTTTCCGTTAGTTTCACGGCCGTTGGAAGTGCCTTTGAATTTTGCAAAGTATAAGCAAGTTTGATGAGGCTCTCTGGTTGAGATTCTGATGACCGCATCTGATGCCAACTCTGGTAGCTTCTCTGATGAGCAACTCTAGGAGCAACTCTGATAGCAACTCTGATGAGCAACTCTGATCAGAAAGTCCAGGAGGGTCTCTGGCCAGTCGACTATGATAATACTTACAAAGAAAATTTCTAATACAGAATTGCTAATGGGGTACTTTAAAATTCTAATTAACCTAGCATCATCAAAATCTAAATACATTTATTGCTTACACTATGTCTAGTCGTAGGGTTGATAGTGCTAGTTGGTTATGGATAGTTGTTTTCGGTGTTGTCGTGTTGGTCTCTTTGAATTTATTGTAACGATTTGAATCCTAATGATATTAATACTAGCATGTGTACCCGTGCACTACACGGTAGATACTTGTTAAAATATTTCTTAAATTAATAGATGCCGTGGATTGTATGTGAATTCGACAATGGGAATTTAAAAGAGAATTCGATTGGCTATAAATAGAGCTGTCAAAATGAGTCGAAGTCCGTAGAGCAAGCCTATTTCATCTATTTCGTGATGAGTTAAATTTGTCATTTTGTAACTCGATGAACTCACTGATTTTGTGTTGGCCCATGCGAGTTGCAATTGGCTAATATACAAACATCTAATTTTAACTTTCATTATCTTCATCTTTCAAAAAAAAAATCATCATCTTCAATGTTGATCGTTTACTACCAAAAACATCTTCAATTATATACTTAATATTTTACAACCTTTGTTGAACTATAATTCCTATAATAATTAGTCAAATTAATTACTCCAACATATTTTTATGTTATATTTGAAAATAATTTTTCAACAATTAGTAGCCATTATTTACAAATATTTACTCAAGAGATATAACTGTATCTTTATTTTTGCACAGTGAGTGCTTTTTCTACATACCGATTAATAGTTATCAAAATTTAGTATAACAATGATTTCATACTATTTCTTATTAAATAGTTGTGTACTTAGTATATTGATTTTTTGTATAAAGAAAGAATTTAGATCAAATGACAATGGGTGGAGAGAAATGAGAATGAACATGTATTGGTAGATTTGAGGATTATGTATTATGTGAAATAGAAGAGTGCACTACATAAATCAGAAAATGTGGTGATATTTTTGCACATAAATTCAACTCTTTGTCCTTTGAAATTGTGAATTATTTTAACTATAAATGTGTGCCTCCACTAAATACAATGCGCATCGATCATTTCAGATCATTCTCATTTCTCACGAATATAAGTGTTCTCACTGAAACCACGTCATATATATACTTCAGGGTAGTTTCTTCCAAGATGTTTTGTCATATGTATTTTTTACATTGATCTACATGGCCACCTTTGAAAGCCATATATTAGAATATATGACCCACCATTAGGCAGTTATACCGATCTAAGTCATGAAAAACATAATTCACCATGGTTGAGTAATATCGGAGAGTGCTAGTCCATTGGACAGCGTGAAACATAAATTGCGAGGAAGGTATAAACAAATATGAGATAAAATGGTGAATCTACATTTATATATTGATTTGGTCGTAATAAATAGATAAGTAATACCACATTTATTCCATTGGGATCGAGACATGTGCAGTTATTAACAAAGATGTTATGTGATTAATATTGAATTGGAAAAAGATATAATGTAAGAATGGTTTGGATCTACACAAATATTAAATTATTTGGAGCTACACAAATCCAATGAATAAAAGAGAGAAATGTGTGAGAAAATCAATGAGAAGGAGGGATTAATAATTATGGAGTATCATATTTTGGAAAGAAATAAGAAACCATTTATAAAACTCATAGTAAGGGAACATTTGCTAGAATTTATAGAAAAAGAAATGGAGAGAAATGTTTTTTATTTAAGGAGCCAAAAAATTGTTAATATTTTTTATTTTTTTAGTATTTGCAATTTGTAGTACCGTTGAGTGTGTGTATGTATTAGATGTGTTGTTTAAAATAACATATGATAATAGAGGATGATATATATTATACATATAAATTATATTGGGACACATGAGAGTGGAGTTTTAGAAGTTGAATAGCTTTTCCCTTATTGTTTTGCCACATGTCACTTTTCCTACAAAGGATGTTGCCACATGTCAAGAGTTACTCCAAAGAGTTCTATAAGAGCATCTCCAATGCTACAATGTGCACGGTGCACATGTGGCATGAGAGATAGCCACATAAATATTAGTAAATAAATTCTTTATCTCCTTATTTGAATGCTTTTATGCAGTTTTAGTAAGTTTTTCTCCATAACGTTAAGGAGACCGTCTAGATGTTGACATTGCTGTTGACATTGCAGGTGAAAACTTACCAAAATTGTATAAAATCAATCAAATAAGGAGAGAGATAATTTATTTGCTAATATTTATGTTGTTATCTTTCATGCCACATGTGCACCGTGCACACTATAACATTGGAGATGCTCTAAGGGTTTGCTTTATTATATTATATAGTGTTGGTCCAAAATAGAACACTCATAGGCTTTTAGGAAAGCTACGTAAGAACACTCAAACAGGAATTTAGGAAAGTACGAATATGGAAAGTTGCAAAGGGAATTTGGTAGCCAGAAATAGCATATCTATTATTTGAATCGAACTTGCCTTTTATAGACGATTACAAATGGTAACTGCCAAAGATACTAATGACTAGTTAATTACAACATAATACGGAATTAAATACATAATTGAGTCACGCATTAATTATTTCGGTCGTTATTGTTCCTGGCTGGCTGGCTGGACGCTTGAGCTCCCTCCTGCTGGACTAGACGATGGGCTCCCCGCTAGGCTGGAGGAAGGCTGCTGACCGAACTGGAGGCAGGCTCCCCGTTGGACTGGAGGCAGGCTGCTGACCGGGCTGGAAGGCAGGCTCCCACCTGAGCTGGTCGGCAGGCTCCTGGCTGGGCTGGAAGGCAGGCTCCCCACTGGGCTGGAGGCAGGCTGTCGGCTGGGCTGGAAGGCGGGCTCCCCACTGGTCTGGAGGCAGGCTGTCGGCCGGGCTGGAAGGCAGGCACCCCGTTGGGCTGGAGGCAAGCTGCCCGCCGGAAGGTAGGCCGTCTTGGGCTTCCACTCCTCGATGGGCTTGATCGATTGGGCCGGCTCGAGCGTTGGGTCACTGGGTTTGGGCCTGTTGGTCCAAGTTCGGGGCCTGGACCGATTAAACTCTGGGCCTAGTCCCATAACCCCATCACGAGTCCCCCACTCCCTTTGTCGAGTAGTAGACTCGGCTAAGAGGGGATAGTTCAAATGAGCTGCCAATTTAAAATTATTTACATATCAGGGAGTCATAATTGTGGATTGTGTCTATCCCACAATTTTGTGGAGATTTCCAAATTAATTCCTTCAAAATCCTAGCATTCAAGTAGTCAGCTTTCTCCTAGACTTCAAATCCAGATCAACTCCCAAAAATTCCTAAAATTCATATTTTATAAATTATTTTCGGAATTTATTTTATTTTTCCCTTTTTCCTCTCTTTCCTTTTCTTTTCTTTTCTTTTCTTTCCTTTTCTTTTCTTTCCTTTCCTTTCTTTTCTTTCCTTTGTTTTTTCTCTCTCTCATGGAAACCCCTGCGTGCGTGTGTCTGCTCCGCGTACCCCCAACACCGTTGTTCTTCCACCGACTGGGTTGACCGCCGTCCGCCGCCCGGCGGCTCCACTGGGTTGCCCTGCCGCGCCAGGCGTCCATCCTGTGATAAGCGTCGGTGGCTGGTGTCCGTCCTGTGCTAAGCACCGGTGCCCGGCGTCGCCCTGCAGTCCAACGAATCTAGCCGGCCGACATAGGCTTCCATGTTGGTCGGCAAAATCTGGCAGTCGTTCCACTTTTGGCCGGCATGGTGTCCTTCTCTCAGGCGGACTGGTAGCCCGACGGCCCCCCAAGTCGGATGGTGACCTTCTCTCAGGCGGCCAGCCCGTCAACTCCTCCGCCGGACGACATCCCCCAGGCCTTCTTCCCCAACGGCCGGCGTGCCCAGGAGGCTGGGTTGCTCCTGAATTCTGGTGGCTGCCGACGTCAATCAAGAGGCTATCGGTCACCCCCTGCCGACCGGCGTAGCCATCCCTCTAGGTGGCTAGGCGTCCGCATTGGCCGGCACTTGTTTCCTAGATGCGATGGGACGGGCTGGCATCCCCGCTCGTCGGGCGTCCGCGTTGGCCGGCGGTTGCCCCAACATCGTTCTTCTATTAGGTGGTGGCAGCCCGCATCGACCCACGGCTGGCCGGGCGTCGTTGGCATGCGGATTGACACTTTGTTACTTCTCTTTTTTGGCAGGTTTACAAGTTTTGATTGTGTCTGGCCAAAGCTCTCTCATGAGTCTAACAAGGTGAAGGACGTTGAGACAGGCAGCGAGACACTTGCATAATTCCATGCCTCGGCTTGGTTTTCCCAAGTGCTTGAAGAATCATTATGGTGAGAAAGATATGGCTCCATTAAACTTGGCGACCACCCAACAGGATGAGAACAACCATGGAGGGGATGACACTGGAGTCAGGATTTCAAGAGAGCTCTTTGAGGTTCCTAGCCACTCATGTGATTAGACCATTGGACATGATGGTGCTGGGTCTGCTTGGCCATGACCTTCTATTTTTTTGTAGCTTCCATGGAGGTGACGTAATATTGGCCCGAAATAGGACAGTCGTAGGCTTTTAGGAAAGCTACGTAAGAACACTCAAGCAGGAATTTAGGAAAGTACGAATATAGAAAGTTGCAAAGGGAATTTGGTAGCCAGAAATAACATATCTATTATTTGAATCGAACTTGTCTTTTATAGGCGATTACAAATGGTAACTGCCAAATATACTAATGGCTGATTAATTACAACATTAATACGGAATTAAATACATAATTGAGTCACACATTAATTACTTTGGCCGTTATTGTTCCTGACTGGCAGGCTGGACGCTTGAGCTCCCTCCTGCTCGACTGGACGGTGGGCTCCCCGTTAGGCTGGAGGAAGGCTGCTGATCGGGATCGAAGCAAGCTCCTGGCTAGGCTGGAAGGCATGCTCCTAGCTGGGCTGGTCGGCAGGCTCCTGGTTGGGCTGGAAGGTAGGCTCCCCACTGGGCTGGAGGCAGGTTGTCGACTGGGGTGGAAGGCAGGCTCCCCACTGGGCTGGAGGCAGACTGTCGGCCGGGCTGGAAGGCAGGCACCCCGCTGTGCTGGAGGCAGGCTGCCGGCTGGAAGGTAGGTCATCTTGGGCTTCCACTCCTCGATGGGCTTGATTGGTTGGGCCGGCTCGAGCGTTGGGTCACTGGGCTTGGGCCTGCTGGTCCAAGTTCGGGGCCTAGACCGATCAAACTCTAGGTCTAGTCCCATAACCTCATCATATAGATAAGTAGTTTTTTTTTTCAAAAACAAGTTATAATTTGTTATATGATGGGATATTGTTTGAATCTTTCAAATTGAATGATTGGTTTGCCCGATCCTCATAGAATTGGATCAAATGGATGATAGTGTTTTCACATTTACAACACAATATAAATCAATTTTAAAAATGTACTATGTGCGTAAGAGTTATTTAAAAAATAATTAGAACTCGGCCCAGCCAAGAAATTAACTTTTGAAAATACATCTCCATATTGGGAGTCAAATATTTTCTGTATCACTCTCTTTTATTGCTGCCTATTCTTTAGCATTACCATGTTTATTTCTTACCTTGTTTAGCTTATTTCTCTTGCTTTTTATTCTGGCTGCACACTCTGTTTTTGAATACGAAATACAAAGAATATTCTTGCCTTTCTACATGGTATCAGAACGGGTTCAACCCACAAAACTCTAACCCAAATCAGTCACGGGTGGAGAAGATGATGCGAGGAAGAAGAAAACCGAGGGAGAAATCCTTGGATTCAAACTCACCATACTACATCCATCCATCTGATTATCTAAAACAAATGCAGGTGAACGATGTGTTGAATGGTAGCAATTACAACGATGGGGTGCAGGAGATGGAGAATTTCCTTCTTGCAAAAAATAAAATTTGTTTTGTAGATGAGTCCATTGAAAATCCAGACAAGAAATCGCAGACTTACATGTCATGGTTACGCTGTGACGTTATGATAAAGGGGTGACTGACAACTGCTATGGATAAGGAGATTAGAAGTAGCGTGAAGTATGCAAATACAGCAGCCGAAATATGGTCGGACTTAAAAGGAGACATCGGTCTGCAACTCCTCCTTTATCTTCTACCCTTCTGGTTCATAACCAGTGACAGTGCTTGAAAATCGGGATCGAATTTGGGGGTAGGTGAGGCTAGGGCGGGGCTACGGCAGTTTTGAAGGGGATGGGGATGTGGGTTGGGCGGGGCTTGGGCAATTCCGATGAGGCTGGGACATGACTGGTGGAGGAGGGGCTGGGACGGGACCGGTGAAGGAGGAGCGGGGTTGGGGGCTGGTCACTATAGCTTCAATACTATTTCTCTTCCGGCTTGCACCTCACAGTCCTCACCTAGTTGTCCGCTAGGTTCAAGGATTCGTGGCTCGCTGCGATTCAAGTTTTCTAACAAATGAATTGGAGAAATAAAAGCAAGGCATTACGTCTTTATATCTGGTCCAGCACAATGTAAGATCACAAGCTATCACTGGAGTATGGTTAATTCACTGAGCTGCAGCCCGACGGTCATTGGTCACTAAGCAAAGGTCATTCAGCCATGGTCACTGCGGGTGGGATCGGTCAACGGGTCACTAGGCGACAGTCAATGATCACTAGGCGCCTAGGTGCCAATCTGATACGCCAATCAATCAAACCAGAGGATCACCTCCAAATCAGATAAGGGCGCACCACACGAGTAAGGAAAGCAAATCAAGACCCGTCATTTATTTATGGCTAAGAGAAGATTCAGCTCATTTCTTTGGGGGAATAAGGCGGCAGAAAACCATGCAGGGAAAGGAGAAATCTATGGCCATCAGATCACTTTATTTTAGTCAATTCATTTATGTATTTTCCTTATTTACTTTTGTAGCAAACAATAGGCCATTAGAATAAATAGCCTACACTGTTGTTTTTGGGAGATCATCGAGAAAATAAAACACCGTTTATTCTTGCCGTTAGGCTGGGAATTTGGAGTTGCGTACACTCGAAGTGCGTTAATCCGGAGCCAGTACTTGCTCGAAAAGTACGTTTGGTACCTAGGTGTATCAACTGGTGCTTTCATTGACGTCGTTGCATCCATCATGTCCGACGAGTCCGTCTGCCCTACCTGGGAAAAATCCATCGCCGAACTTCGCGATGAATTACGGGACCAGGCTACCTACAACCACCACACTGCGCAGGCCTTGCAACGTACCATTCAGGACTTAGCTCACACCATTGAGAAGCTTCAATTCACTGCAGGGACCTCTACTGTTACTCCTTCTTCCATGGATCACACCACTATATCAACTGCTCGTACGCTCCTTCCAAAAATAGCTCTTCCCACATTTGACGGTACCGACCCGCATAATTGGATTTTCCAGGCTCAAGAATATTTTGAGTATCATAAAGTTTCAGAGGCTCAGCGGCTCTCATTTGTGTCCTTTATGATGGAGCGTGAGGCCTCCGAATGGCTTCGTTGGATGAAAAACAATAACCTTCTTCGCACATGGACTGATTTTTTGGAGCAGTTAAAGCAGCGTTTTGACCCAGCGCATTTTGAAGATTTTGTGGGGAAATTATCCAAGACTCGGCAACTCACGACGGTCGCGGCGTATCGGGCAGACTATGAAAAACTCTTAAATAAGGTCACAGGGGTGCCAGAGACGATTTTAATCTCAATGTTTGTCGCCAGTCTCCAATCGACGATTGGACGTGAGGTGCAGCGTGCCAAACCAGACACTTTAATCCAAGCTTTTGCACTGGCTAGCGAGATTGAAGCGCAACATGGAGACCTCTACACATCCTTCAAATCCTCATCTCACTCTAACAAACCGTTGCAACACATGGGTCCTAATCCTAGCCCATCAACCCTCACTACAACTTCCAACCCATCCCGTTTGAACCTGGCTCGACAGAATACATCTACCGTTGCTCACCAAAAAAAACTTCCCATCATCCAAATTAGCCCAGCAGAAAAGCAAGCCAAGTTTGAAAAGGGAGAATGCTATACCTGTAACCAAAAGTGGTCGAGAAACCACAAATGCCTTAACCGTGCCCTTCTCTTGATGTGCAGCGAGGATGATGAACTAATACCTGTCTCAGACACAACTCACGCAGAAGAGGAACCCATACTGACAGCGGACTGCTCGAGCCTTCACTCTCTGGCCAGCCCAGGCGCGCCCCGATCCTTGCGTCTTACAGGGATAGTTCACACTGCTACTTTACAAGTCCTCATCGATGGGGGTAGCACGCATAACTTTATTCAACCAGGTATCGCTGAAAAATTGCACTTACCGGTAACAGAGGCGCCTCCATTCCGAGTGTACATCGGCAATGGTGATTCTCTGTGTTGCACTCATGCTTGTGTTCAGGTACCCTTAACATTGCAGAATGTGTTGGTTCTTGTCGATTTATTCGTGTTACCTATCAAAGGTCCTGACATAGTATTGGGCGTCCAATGGTTGCAACTTTTGGGAAAAGTTACACATGATTATGCCAAGGTTACCATGGAATTTGATTGGAATAACCAACGTATTTGTTTGCAAGGTGACCATTCAACGCCAGTTAAACCCATTTCTTATAATCATCTCCTTCCTTTGATGAAAGCTGGTGAAATTCATGGTTGTTTTGAATTGGTCGCCCAACCTACTGACTTCCTGGAAAGTGAGGACATTTTAATATGGCCAGACGACATTCCTGAAACCATTTTGGCACTGCTCCATACCCATGCTAAGGTGTTTGGGACACCACAAGGGCTGCCGCCAAGCCGCCTATTTGATCATCACATTCATCTCATTCCCGGTTCCAAACCAATCAACGTCCGACCTTACCATTACCCGCACTTCCAAAAGACAGAAATGGAGAAGTTAGTTCAGGATATGCTGAGACAAGGGATTATTCAACCAAGCAGTAGCCCTTTTTCATCACCTGTCATGTTAGTCAAGAAAAAAGATGGTAGCTTTCGGTTTTGCGTGGATTATAGGGCATTAAATAAAGTCACTATTCGTGATCATTTTCCAATCCCTACCATTGACGAGCTATTTGACGAATTGGGGATGGCCAAGTTCTTCACAAAACTGGATTTACGATCAGGTTATCACCAAATTCGTATGAATGCGAAGGACATTTTTAAAACGGCATTTCGCACACACGACGGTCATTATGAGTTTCTAGTCATGCCGTTTGGCCTCACCAATGCCCGTCCACCTTTCAAGCCACCATGAACTACCTCTTTAAACCTTATTTGAGAAAGTTTGTGGTAGTGTTTTTCGATGATATCCTCGTCTACAGCCCAACCATAGACCTGCACATTCAACACCTCAGCATTGTCCTGGAAACATTAGCTGGTCAACAATTCTATATTAAACTCACAAAGTGTCTATTTTGCAAGACATCTGTGGATTATCTTGGACACATCATTACAGATGGGAACATGAATGCCGACCCGGACAAAATTTCAGCCATGGTAGAGTGGCCGCAACCAACTTCCCTTAAGCAACTCCGGGGTTTCTTGGGACTGACAGGATATTACAGGCGATTTGTACGACATTATGCGACCATTGCAAGCCCTTTGACTGATTTGTTACGGACATATGCTTTTAACTTGTCGGAGGCAGCCACAAAAGCATTTATCTCCTTGAAGGAGGCTATGACACAGGCGCCAGTGTTACGTTTACTTGATTTCGCGCTACCGTTCATCGTCGAAACAGATGCTTCGGCCAGTGGTATTGGTGTTGTCCTAATGCAAGCAGAACACCCACTTGCGTTCTTCAGCAAAAAGTTGGGACCACGCCTCTTGGCTGCCTCCACTTATGTCCGTGAACTCCATGCTATCGTTGAAGCAGTGACTAAATGGCGACAGTACCTCTTGGGTACCATCTTTACCATTCGGACTGACCATAAAAGCTTGAGAGAATTGTTACAGCAGGTTATTCAGACTCCAGAACAGCAGTTATATGTGCGCAAACTTTTGGGATATCAGTTTACTATTGAATATAAAACTGGGTCTTCTAACAAGGTCGTTGATGCCCTTTCGAGACGTGATGAAACTGACGATCTCTCAGCTCATGCTCATTTTATGGCACTTTGTCAACCCGTCCCAACATTATTGGAGGATATTCGATGCGAAAACCAAGACCAACCAGACTTGTTAGACATCCATAAGCAGTTGGGAGACGGCAAGTGTTTACCACACATACACATCAAGGATGGAGTTTTATTTTTCAAGCTTCGTTACTACATAAGTGTGTTATCTCCTCTCAAGCAAATACTCCTCCGAGAGTTTCACTCTACACCTATGGCGGGTCACGCTGGAGTCAAGCGCACACTCGCTCGACTCACCGCTTCCTTCTTTTGGGTAAAGATGCGAACAGATGTTGAGAATTTTGTGGCGTCCTGTATGGTATGCCAAACCACAAAATATTCCATGCAACCTCCGGCTGGAATGCTGCAGCCGCTCCCTGTGCCATCTCAGGTTTGGGATCATGTTACGATGGATTTCATAATCGGGCTACCAATGTCTCAAGGATATTCGGTAATTATGGTTGTTGTGGATCGCCTTACTAAATATACTCATCTGGGTTGTTTACCGACCTCTTTTGATGTGCCTAAAGCAGCACTGCTATTCACTGATATTGTGGTTAAGCTACATGGGTTTCCAAGCTCGATTGTGTCTGACCGAGACCGGGTTTTCTTGAGTAACTTTTGGAAGGAACTCTTTAAGTTAAGCGGCACAACCCTCAAACATAGCACCGCTTACCATCCCCAAACAGATGGACAGACCGAGGTAACCAACCGTGGCATTGAACAGTACTTGCGTGCTTTCACACACCTTCAACCGTTGCGGTGGAGACAGTTCATCGGGTGGGCAGAATACTGTCTCAACACTTCCGTTCATGAAGGCCTCAAGACTACACCTTTTCGTGCGTCGTATGGCCGCCACCCTCCGACTATCCCTTTTTACTCACCCGGCAGCACCAATGTGCAGACCGTGGACATGCTGTTACGGGACCGACAACTCTTACTTCGTTCACTTCGCGCAAATCTCCGAGCTGCCCAACACAGGATGACCCAGAAAGCAAATAGGAAACAGAGGGAGCTGGAATTCGCGGTAGGAGACTTAGCATTATTAAAGCTCCAACCATACCGCCAACATTCCATTGCATGGCGCAAAAATCAGAAGCTTGCATGTCACTATTATGGGCCATTTCTAGTTTCGGAGCGCATTGGGGCTGTGGCTTATCGTCTCCAACTCCCAGATACAGCAAAGGTTCATCCCGTGTTCCACGTCTCCTTATTAAAACGATTCCAGGGGGATTCTGCTCCAAAAATAATTCCCCTACCAACAACATTTGAAGATGGCAAACCTGTGTCAGCACCTAGTGCTATCCTTGACAGAAGACATGTCCTTCGACACGGCCTGCTGGAAGATCAGTTGTTGGTTCAGTGGAGTGACGGTGGACCAGAGGATGTGACTTGGGAACCAAGCACTACGATTACCCACCATTACCCAGATTTTCACCTCGCGGACGAGGTGGTTTCTCAAGCCGCAGGGGATGATACGCCAATCAATCAAACCAGAGGATCACCTCCAAATCAGATAAGGCGCACCACACGAGTAAGGAAAGCAAATCAAGACCCGTCATTTATTTATGGCTAAGAGAAGATTCAGCTCATTTCTTTGGGGGAATAAGGCGGCAGAAAACCATGCAGGGAAAGGAGAAATCTATGGCCATCAGATCACTTTATTTTAGTCAATTCATTTATGTATTTTCCTTATTTACTTTTGTAGCAAACAATAGGCCATTAGAATAAATAGCCTACACTGTTGTTTTTGGGAGATCATCGAGAAAATAAAACACCGTTTATTCTTGCCGTTAGGCTGGGAATTTGGAGTTGCGTACACTCGAAGTGCGTTAATCCGGAGCCAGTACTTGCTCGAAAAGTACGTTTGGTACCTAGGTGTATCACAGTCACTAAGTTTTATACCTTATTCAGTCACTAAAATAATCATTAAGTTATTCACTAAATTATGACATATAATCACTTTGTCCAAACTAAAAATATGAAGTACATAATATACCTTTTCTCTCAAATTATTATGAATTATGTGATGTCCACTCACTATAAAATCCACTCCTTAATAGCACTACAATTCTCAAAACAAAAACTCCCGCCTACCTCTCATTCTACAACATCCGTTCGATTCCTAAAATATAATCAGCGGCCTCTACATTCCATCATACACCCTTACCTTTTAATGAGTTCTTTCCTTCAATGTCTATACTAGACTTCCATTATCGACTTTCATTCACTTAGCCAATCATAGGAGCATTAGATGACCGGAACAGCGTTCCTTCGCTTCCCAATTACCTTTGCCTTTCCCACTTCGCCAAGAACGCCAACAGCTAACGGCCTGGGAATGCCCGCATCGGCCAAAAGCACCGAAGCACGGGAATCTACTCTCCTTCACTTCGTCTGCGTCTCAGCTTAGAGAGTGGGGGACTCCTGATGGAGTATATGGGTCTGAGCCCCCGGACCCACATACTCAGGAGAACAGAAAGCACAGGGTGGCGCCCTCGTCGGCCAAGGGACCCCCGTCGGCCGAAAAGGTGCCAACCCAGATTATGGTCCTGAGCCCAAGAAACCCGGGTGCCCTCGTCGGCCGCGCCCTCGTCGGCCACGCCCTCGTCGGCCACGAAGACCTCACAGAACCGGATTCTACACTTACTCATTTGTACAGCCCATTAGTGGCTTTGTATTCGGCCCAGTAGCGGTCCAGTTGTAAATGGGCCTCCCAAGCCCAAGGCTTGGGAGCCCAGCCCGTATTTTCTCTATAAATACTCCCCTTGGGAGTAGTTATGGGGGTTACAAATTCATTCTATTGAAGCATATTATTGCACTTCTCTCTCTAGCTCTCACTTCTCTCTAGATATATACTCTATCATTTGGTGTTCTCGTTGAGAGCTAGAACGATCAAGTTAGCACCCTTCGTCGCTACCAAGCACAGCTAACCACTGACCATGGGAAGAACTAAATCAAACCGCAACCTCGTCAGCAAGGCCATCCCTGCGGACCAAGATCCCA